TTGTAACGCGACGCAGGTCGACGACGGAGAATCGAAACACGACTGGGCGCCAACTGTCGGGACAGGGAAGCCCAAGAAGGCCACATCTTCAAACTGAAAGACAGGGCGTGGAAGAAGCGGTTTCGCACGGTAGGGTCGCGGTTTGTGCGGATGATAAAAAAACAGACATTCTAAGGAATCCGGGCAGTACGTCCCTTGAGTATTTCAGTACAATGTAGTAGAGCAGTCACTACAACGTAGAAAGATTATGCTACATGTAGCATGCTTACGACAGCTACCAATTCGTTACCCAACTTTCATTGAACAGCGGAGGCAGCAAAGATTACCTTAATCATACGGCAACAAAGAAACATGCATACAACCACACGTTAAATGAGTTTTGGAGCTAACGGTTTAACACCAAAAATTCGGTGGAAAACATTGCCAGGTGGTATGCATTTTGGGATTGTTCAGAAATATTTTTTACACCACCACCACCTATACTTGCAAACCTGCTCCGGCAGTGACAACCATTGTTCAGAATCTCTGCATTTAATGACAAACAATCCGCAACGAAATGGCACGTAACGATACCGATCTGACATCAAATAAAAGACAGGGAGGGTGATCATATGCGCGGACACTTACACATTCCCTACCTGTGACACAGGCAAAACTTAATGGAAACAAGCCCTGGACTCAGCAGTACCTGTCTGCTAACGCTTCGTCGGCCTGCTGGGGCTCAGGTAAAGAACGTACCGTCCACGAATATTCCATCTCATTTAATTTTCATGACTAGAAAAGCAGGAGCTGCCATGGCTGAACTCATGTCGCGTGCGATTTTCATCAATGGAGTGCTCAATGTGGTGTTCATGACCATTCCTTCCCATGCAACGCCAAAGGGTTGCAAGAGTTGCAGGGTCTTCCCATGCAACGCATTTCAAGTGCTATTTTTCGGTTATTGAGGATGGCGGTGGCGGCTGCCCTCTACCCACCGTATGTTGCAGGAGTGACGCGTTCGTGCGTTCATGGGTACCCTCATCGAGTTTGGCTTCCCTAAATTCAGTGTATAAAGCATCGTTCACGACCCTCTCCCCGCGTTTGCCGCGCAGAGCTACAGGAAGAGCGCGCGATCCACGACCACTTGCGTCGCGTCTGATTCCACTGATTACAACGCGGGAGTCTTAACCGACGGCTTGCGTCGCGCCTGATCTCAAAGTGCAGACCGTCATTGACTATGAGCAGACGTCACTGCTGCTGCCAGCTGCCGTCGCGCTCGTGTTTCTGGACTAGTGTGCCGGTGTCGGTGCTGACCATTCACAGCCCGGCCACGATCCACCCGGGATGTACGCGGCACCGTCAACATCCACTCACATCGCGTTTGATTTCCCTGACTAGAGTGTAGAAGGCGTCGTCGACACCCATGCGCGTCTTGGCCGACGTCTCGATGAAGGGAATGCCGTAGTTTTTCGCCACTTCCTTGGCCTCGGTCATGTCGACGGCTCGCGTCGCCAGATCGCACTTGTTGCCCACCACTGCAACACAGAGCGGCGGGAGTCAGAACGCCGCTGCGGCGCAAGCGGCTCCCACCACTGCAACACTGGGCGGCCGGGGTCAGACATCCGCTCAGCCAGCGGCCTGACCGCCTGGCCGTCATTACATATGCAAAAGTCTTAACAGGCAAAGATGCCGGCGATCACAGCGTTCGTTGCATGGCTGTCAGCAGGGCAAATTATTACTAAGTTCATTGCGGGACCGGAAAAACCTATGGAAAACATACATGTTTCGCAAAAGTTTCTGTGTCTTACAATGATTTTCCGCCACCACAATTCAACAGAAATCAAACGGCACACCAGAATGCCTCTATCCTTTACATGTCACCCACCGCCGGTCAGCATGAGCTAGCCTAGCAGCCCGCACGGCCGTCGTCAACAGCACGGCTGAGCCTACACAGCAGGCTGCATGATCGTCGCAAACAGCGGCGGCACGGCTGAGCCTACCCAGCAACCCACACGGCTATCGCAAACAGCGGCGGTTCGGCTATCAACTAAGCAATTGTTGAATTGGGTCATATTCTCCCACATGATTATTATTCCCGATTGTCGTCCATGCGCTATCACACGCTTTGTGTATGCACTCGAACAATGACGTTGGACGACATATCCGTAGCATCACAAATATGTCATAGTTATTTCCGGATCTCACTAACGCGCTTACCGAGGGAAGTGCGACTTTTTGACCCATAGTTCTTCTACATTCGCATAGCCTTCTTGGAAATCATATTATAAGTGCACCGGGGCTGAGATACGGTTGTGCTGGAATAGTGTGAGCGACAAGAACATTCAGGTGTAAGGGCACGACATGTGAAATGCCTTTAAAACACTCGTGTTGCGTCCTTGTCTCAGCGTCAATAACCGCTAAAATGCAGTGGCAATGCCCTTCACGAAACTGTACGATAAAAGGCTGAATTTTGCATTATATATATATATATATATATATATATATATATATATATATATATGCAACATCATAGACCATTCATCTCCCCTTTCCCTCCTTTTCGTTCCTTCCTATCCCTTGTTTACACTTGTCCAGAGAACCTCTGCTTATTCTCCCGTACTTTCTCTCACCACTCCTAAACTGCCCACGTCCAGCCACCCACTTTGCAAAACACGGTCCACACTGGTGCATGCTGAGGCAGGAGCTCAACGCCCGACATGACCGACTCCCGTATGGATCCGCGCATGGTTGTCTCTGGCCTTTCGGCGCGTCCGACCTCCCACAGCTACCATAGCTGGCGCAAGGGTTTCCCACCTCATTAATCTGCTTTTCAGGGTCTGGCCGCGTTGTGCCATTCTTTCAAGACGGTACTGTGAATCTAAATGACGGACGTCCGATTCGAGCTACGACGCTGCTTTTCTGGAATTTAGCCTAAGGAGGATAAATTTGACATTACAAACAGCGACCTTCGTGGATCACAACATTCCTCGTGTACCCACAAAATCTGTTCACCGTTTGCCCTTCCACCCAAAGTCAAAACACCTGTTCGAAACGTGATCAATTGTTTTTTTTTGTGTGATAAATCTGACGGCAGTTAACAAGTCATGTCCATACTAATCACTTGCCATTCCCGCACAGTTCACAACGCCCAGAGTCTGAGGTTTCACCCCAAGGCATCAATGCCACTTCGTCAGCACCAACGTAGCCTGGTCGGAAGAAACAGCGACCTATTGGCTAGAACTTTTCTCAAACACCTGCTCCGTGATTGACTTCAAAACGCACTGGTGGTGACGATCTGGTGGTGGTGACAATGGTGACGCACTGGTGGTGACGATCATCAGGGACGTCACGCTGAAACGACCTAAACGCGCGTGCAGCGAAGTGTGCGAGAGCCCGCGCACAGGTCGTCTGTAGCCCTCAAGATGCGAGACGCACGCATACGTCGCATGCCAGATACTGCGCGTATCACCCAAAATTGAGAACCACATGTGGCATACCCACTGGCATCTGCACTACATAGCGGATGAATTGACGGATCCTTCAAACCTTAGTCGTTTGTAGCTTCGACCGGCCAACCTGGACTTGAACAATGAAAAGTGAAGCGATTTGCGCGAGCTTTAGGTGCCCGAGCCGCACATAATAATGCCCACTGGTCATGACAAGTCCCACGTATTCACCGCATGTTTTAGGCGCCCGAGCTGCACATAATAATGCCCACTGGTCATGACAAGTCCCACGTATTCACCGCATGTTTTAGGCGCCCGAGCTGCACATAATAATGCCAGCTGGTCATGACAAGTCCCACGTATTCACCGCATGTTTTAGGTGCCCAGGCTACACATAATAATGCCAACTGGTCATGACAAGTCCCACGCACTCACCGGAGAAGGTTTATCTCACAGTTCTAACAGGTGGAAGTCTCTTTCTAAATCGTGCTAGTCGGTGAGCTCGTTCGTACATTGAGGGACACTGCCGGCAATTTCCTCCCGGTGACCAATCCACCGATAGCACCGTGGGCAGATAGATCCACCGATTCCAGCCATCAGTGCACTGCGTGGAGTGGACTGAGAGCACTTAGTGAAGAGAGTGGAGTAGATCATCTGCATTTGACCGCCCCGCTTCCCCCACACACACTGGTAGCGGACCATCACTTCCAATGTGAAGTATTATTACATCACATTCATTCAGCTGAACACACGCAACACAGCTCACACGAACGATGCGAGTTGTGACATGATTCCATCGCGCATTCCTGCCCATTTTGCATGTATCGAAATGTTGTTTAATCACAAGGAGAGCGACATGAGGTAACCGGGGACTTGTGCGCATCATATCTGTTCCTGGCAAAGCGGTAGGGAAAGCACATGAACCAGAATGTTTTGTTTTTGCACACCCACAGCCTCAGCTTATGAAAGGTTTAGACACAGGAGTGGCTGAACGACTAAAGAAGACAAGTATTTGAGTTTCAGAGGCGAAACGGAGCTAGCGTTCGTTGAAAGCAGAGGCAAGAAACGAAAGAGTGCTGGGGAAAACAGGTAAACTGTTCGCGTGAAATCGTACCGATAGCCGCCCCTCCCCCCGGCACACCATTGAATTAGCAGCCACAGGTCACGGACACTTGCACAACAAAAGCATGCAAAGGCCCAAGACGTCTGCTGCCTGCCATCTCCATATTTCGGGTATCCCCAACTAATAAACCACTGCCGGTTGGCGGACACTCATAGTTCACGGAGCGCACGCCTGGTAACAGCCAGTCTTAAGCGATCGTGGCCAACAGCGATGCACCCGCCATGAACGTATGCAACCGAAACGAAAACCAGATGCACGTGGGCCTACATCAGACAGCAAGAAGTGTAAGCACCCAGAATTCATCAGGCTCCAGCAGAAACTTTATACACTGAAAACTGCTGAACAAACATGTCCAGAGATCCATGTCTTCACGCCTGGAACGTTGACAGATCTCGGACATCCGCGTTCCATTATCAGGCACCAACGGACCCCGCACATGTACGAACGAGGGCACTACCGAACACTGGGTACGTAGGACCGTAGCGACATAGGACCAATGGGCATGTACAACTGATGGGTACATAGGACCAATGGGAACATGGGAAAAATGAGTATGAAGGGCCAGTGGGTACGTAGGAACATTGGGTACGTAGGACCAGTGGGTATGTAGGACCAATGGGTACACAGGACCCATGGGTATATGGGACCAATGGGCACGTAGGACCAATGGGTACGTGGAACCAAAGGGTACGTTAACGAGTTGGTACGTGGGACCAATCGGCGCTCACCGTTCTCGTGATAAAAAACACTCAAGGAAGCCTACTTCTCATGGCATGGCTGATTGACACCCAAAAATCACGGAACAAAGCTAAGAGCTGGCAGGCACCGACTGCAGATGTACACTGATACGGGAGTAACTACGTCCGGAAATGGAGAACGACAGATGAGGAACTTGAGGAGGGGAGGGAAAACTGACCAAACGCTTTTTGACGGAGAATATGCGACAAACGTGCATTTCATAACAACCATGTTCTTCATGAATCCAGGGCGTTCAGCCCACAGGCAACTACGGACCCCAAACTCACAGCGCTGCGGCTGTCGCAGCTCCCCCCATCCCCACCAGCAGATTAAAATTAACAGGAGCGCGAAGGGCTAACCGGCGACACGCGCAGCACATAAACATGACTGACTGCTGTCAAGTACTCACAGATCATGGGCACGATATCGGCGTCCTTGACCCGCTTAATCTGCTCCCGGTAGCTGCTGATGTCCTCGAAGGACTTGGAGTTGTTCACGGCAAACACCAGCAGGAACCCCTCGCCGGTCCTCATGTACTGGTCTCGCATGGCGCTGCCGGTGTGCAGGCGGTGAATGCCGTCACCAGCGTCACGGGGCGGCGGGAGGCGGTCAACACAATCATCAGCATCGCGGGGCGGTGCGGTTTTTACATGGTGCTTTCTTTGTTGAATTTACATTACCTCTCCCTAGGATCACCTTGTTGAGGGTGGTGCCAGAACTGGCAGACCGTGCCAAAACTGTCGTCCTAATTAATCCGATACAAGTCGGCCGACTCCAGGATAGAGGCCATGTGGCGGATGTGTGGGTGTGTATGGGATGCAGGTGGTGGATGTGTCAGACAGTCAAACATAATTAAACATAATATGCAAATGTCTTTGCAAACAGGAAACGGTTATCCGCAACACACAAAAAAACACCCTGCAATTATCCCCTGCCACGGGAGCCACAATCAGACCTTTCCAAGCATTCAGGGCAATCCGTAACACACGGACCAATGACACCATGTCAAACAGCAAAGCTTTTCTTTCGGTCTAATGCCATTAGTGCAACACCACAGCCGACCAGTGGAGGCGCTGCTGGCCGTAGACGGACATCTCCCACTGGTGTGTGTGTGTGTCACTGGGTCTTTACGACGCACTGAGTTTCTGAGGCTATATGGCGTCGCCTGCCTCTCACCATGGCAAGAAGGGCGGGCACCGCGGGGAATCTAACCCTGTACCTCTGGTCCCCAGACGCGCAGTGGCTAACGCATACGCGTTAACCGCGGACGCGTTAACCACTACGCTACCGGCACCCCCACCTCCCGCCGGTCTGTTCAGTGCCTTCCCTGTACCCGGATACGGAGGCGGGGCGCCACTAACCTGTACTCCTCTTGACCTGCTGTGTCCAGGATGTCCAACAGGCACGTCTCGCCGTCGATGACCACCTGCTTCCTGTACGAGTCCTCGATGGTCGGATCGTACTCGTCCACGAAACTGAAACACGCAACAGCCAACCACACTGAGCTGCGGCGCGCCACCTTACTGAACGTAAAACAAACTCATCACCGCTGGACGGGCTCCAACCAACCAAAAACGGGCACGTCTTGCTAAAGCTGTTGTGTCAACCTGCTCCAACAGATCCATGTAGATAGCCAAAACATACCACATTTTGAGAAGTGATCTAAATGATTATTGATCAGGTACAGAAATCATGATGACATATTTGCAGTTGTTAAACCACCAATGCATTTAGAACAAGAAGATAAAGGGCGATCCCAAACAGATATACATTTGATCCAAAAAACAGACTACAGGATCTGTGTTCTAGATTCCATCAGCAAAACACATTCTATTCAACAACAGAAGACATATTGGATCTGGTGTCATCCATGGGATCCAGACACATGCTAAGTGGAATAATGACCTCACTGAATGTGTACCTAATTCAAGTAACTCATGATAGGGAGCTGCACTTACTGGTTCTGAATCAGTTGAATGGTGAGTGCACTCTTTCCCACGCCTCCAGCTGCAGGCACAAACAATTGTGTTGGGGACTGTTGTAAGCCACACTGCACAAAGTCCATGGCTTAGGTTATGACCTTGATGTGTTGACCAAATGCTCAGCAATAACCAGGAGCTGAATGGTTAAATGACTCTTTGACATATATTATACAAAAAAGGCACGCTAAGATCTGTTTCTTACACAAGTAACTACCTTACTTTGAAAAAGACAGAATGATAGTTGAAGCATCCAATCAAAAAGTGATAAATGGTAAAAAACCAACCAACCAAGCTTACATCAGTTCTAAACTGATGTGATTGTTATGGCTCAGTGAACTATAACAAACAGTAACACCTACAACCAATGGACACCCCCAAACCTTTGATATAATTGAGGAAACAACCAATGGCAGCTGCAATGTTCATTCTGATTGAATGGCTTTCTAGGATTAGAGTTCATGCTAAGCAGTGCTTGCACAAATGCTGGACCCATCATTTGATCATGAGCTTCAGTTCACCAACAGACTTCCTGGGGTAAAGGCTAAATGCTGTGATGCTTGGCATGGTCAGCTGTGCCTGCTGACCTCATCTGAACATGTGTGGCCACTGCATCATCCACACGCTGTCCCACCCCGGGCAAACAGCAAGGACTAAAGCACCAATACAACACCCATCCCACCACAGGTATGTTTGGTGGCAGATGCTTGAACCAATTGAGATGCAGGGGCAGACTTCAAACTTGGCAGTCCAGATTGGACAACAGTTGTGCTTGCTATGCAACATTATGAATGCAATTGCAATGATTGAAGATGTATACAATTTTGGGAAACAAATATTACAATTTTCAATCAAAGTTGCCCTAATGTTTTTAAATGTCCAGAAAGATAATGAAAGTTATCCAAACAGGGATCAGATAGCATTAACATCCATGATCTGGTCAGGTAATTCTGCTTGTACATCCATAGTGTGATAGAATCAAGGATACCAACTTTTACAAACCTTTTTGACAAACTTGAATAAAGCAGATACCATCATCAATACATGGATGTATGTACATTAAGTAGCCATGCAAAGGGCGCATTTTAATCTGCTATATTTAAGTAAAACCCTTGAGACTCACATACTAAATTTGTCACACCATCCTGTCACACATTTCTCAAATGGGCACCCTCTAACAAAATTCTACATATTCATTCAGGGAATAAAATACATGATATTTTATGACTCTGTACCACTAACAAAAACTCATCATGACAATCTTATTTAAAAATTCAGTTTCAATCCAAAAACAAGTTTCAATCCAAATGATGCCTCACAGGAGAGCCAGTCTAGTCATGTCAAATAGAAGTAATGCCATGTTAAATCAAACCTCACAGACAGTTGCCATGCCATGTACGAAAACTGATATTTGTTCATAAAAGTGACACCAAAATGTGCTGTCAGCACCCTGGACATGTCCCTTGAGAGAGCATGAACACCTATGTTATGCTTCATGATAATGCTACAGTTATTGCACTTGGTATGATCCCAAAAGTTCATATCTGGTCTTGTATTTCATACATTACTCAATTACAAGTTAATTCATCCTTTGAAAACCTTTGTTCCTTTCAAATACACAGTCAAGTTCTTTGTTGAGGACCTTAAAATAATTCACATTTTGGTATTCAAAGGAAGAAAAAACCTTTAGAATCATTTAACAGAACCAGTTCACCAACACTGCTGTCATGCCAGCTCCAGTACAATCCTTCATTGGGAAAGATCACCAAAAAAAAGGTTCATCATGCAAAGATCAGGGATAGTAAGCATGCAATGCAATGTAAATGTTGGCTTCTTCACAGTTAAGACTATTGAACATTCTGGGGTGCTATCATGGGGCCCAACATGTCCTGTCAAATGCCACATCCCAAATTTGGTTGGCTTTTTCAGGTTTACTTGCAGCATTGAATGCTAAAAAATTGCCATATTGCTTGTCATATCTCATAAATTTTGGGGTACTTTTTACTTGGACTCAAAATTAATGGGAAGCCAACCATTCTCAGACTGCTGATCCATTATGCAGGGAGCTGTAATTTTCCATTGCAAAATCTGTGCCTGTGCCAGGGAGATAGCTCCACAACCCTCGTGCAGTATCTACCTGGGGTGCTGCACTTCACACACAAGGCAGAGCACATTGAGAATTTACCTCAAGAGCACAATTCATGTTGTACCACTAAGGGTTTAAGATTCCAGCAATGCTTGCTCACAGGCTTGATGTGCATGAATGCATTTTATTAATATATTTTGAAAAAAACTCATTACCAGATAAAAAAAAGCATTTTTTGCATCAAAAGTGATCAAAGCTTGGAGGGGATCTGATAGAAGCAACCAAGATTATGAAAGGGGTAAACAAGGTAGATCTACGAGAAGCACTGGACATTGGGCAAATTTCGAGAAAACCAATTTCCACAAGGAAAAGGTAGCAGTAGAGGTATGAAGAGGCAAATGTTATTAGTCAGATTAATAAATCAATGGAATGGACTATAAAAAAATGCAGAAAGTCCTTTTCTAGCAACATTCAAAAATTATTAGAACAACTTATATTGGTTCAAGGATCTCACTTATCACTAAATTCAGGGATGTCAAGAGATAAGATTAGCATGAACAATATGTGCAGAGCCAGGGATGACCAACCTAAATGGGCCCTTGTGGCTCTTTGTTGGCCCAATGTCTTAATGTCTTTATCATCTTAAACCATGTTCACAAGTTAATCTATACATCAGGAGTCAGCCTGCAAACTTTGACCGATACTGATGAGATGTTAAAAGCAATGAATGCTGAAACTGGTGGAGGCACCACTTCCATAACAAAACCTTGTTAGAACATGTCATGGTTTGCCCACAGAGTCCAAAATTTATAAACCATCACTTATCATTGGCTGCACCATGTACCCACACCGTGCACCCAATACTATGTTTAGGCCAAATACTCACCCCCAACAACCACCAATTTGTATTCAGTCATCTTGGCAGAGTTGTTTGAGGTGCCCAATGGGCGGTTCATGAACACGACACAACCCAGACTATCAGAGATTTCAACGAGTGCGGCGCAAAGTTGTTCAACTGCTAGTTAGTCACCGATATCACGAGCCAAGTGGGGGTAACATCACACGTTCACAGTTCACACAACCATCAGCTAGGTAGCTAAGGAGACCCCAATGGATTTATGCTTCAACCGATCCACCAAGTCAGATAGGCATCAATGAGTCATCGCCAACACCCGAAGGCCGTCACGGATCCTCGCCGATGCCGAGCCAAGGATACGCTCGCGGCAGCTCAGTGGACGGGCAATGGGATCACAAGGCGGTACGTTATCGCGGACCAGCACGAAGGACCCTGCGCTTCCGCCTGGTTTTCTTTGTTGGGACGAATCTGGCGCAGGTTTGGAGGGGTAGGGCTCCACTGCTGCTGTGCAAATCTACTGCCAATAATTACTGCGAACCTATGTTACGTAGACACAATTGTTTTTGACGAAATGTTTACGAATGTTTTCGGATAGCTTTTCCCGCTTTTCTTCATCGAGGTTAGAACTTGAAAATGAACGGAAAGGCTGATTGGCTTGTAAAATACCTGGAGTTTCCTGAATAGCAGCTAAAAATTATGACTGAAAAATTATGCCAGCTACGAATCCATCTTACCAGATCTAACCACCTTGGTCTTTACTGCCCACGCAGTACTAAACACAATGTTTCAAATTGTTCACCACACAGTCCAACATACACCAAGATTTTCCTCAGCCCTTAGTATCGCAACACTTAGAAGCTAAAACTCATTAAATGACACCCGGACCACCAGATTTGCATGTCTGGGCTCGCGGAAACACCAGCTACTTAGCGACTATTTCTTACTTGTCCTTGCTCCGAAGGTTTCGGCAATCAGTGTACATTATAGCCTTTTTGCATTGTTTCGTCTGAGATCAAACCCCTAGTGGCTAGTTGGACCCCATTATTTCTGTTGTGATATTTAACAAAAGTTGAAGGAAGTGTAAGCTATGGTATAGTGCGTCACGAGCGCGAGCGCCCGAGTGCACCTCTGCGGCCGAGCGCCGGAGGCGTGGACGACTGGCCGCCGTGGTCAGCGGTTTCAGGGACGCCGGTCTGTTGATACCGTTCAGGGCGCGTATATGCCGCACCTGTGACAGCGAGTGGGGGCGTACCAATTGGAGCCAGGAAAGAAATTTGCGTGGGGTGGTGGAGGAGAGTTGAAGAGCCTTGCGACGTTTGGATGCCTGTCGGCTGACGGTGGGGATGAAAAGAAAGCAGTGGGAAAGTTGCTCCTTGGCTTCGGTTCGCGGATTGCGGTGGCGGATGCACTATCCGAAGAGGAGCATCGGAATTACCGGCGAGAGCAAGAAAAGGCTGCTTTTCGACGGTATATGGGAACGTACTTATTCGCTTACTCGCAGCCTAATTTCGCCGGAGAGGCCACTGAATATTAGTTTTGAGGACTTGATTTGCACTGTTAAGGGTCACCCGGGCCCTACCCCCCTGGTTATTGGCAGCCAATTCGAGTTCGGATCGTACATCCACCGTGCAGGGCAACCGATTGCTGACTAGGTTGCTCCACTTCGCAAGTCACCTGAACACTACTACTCTTCTGAAAACACTCGAGGATAGATTGATGGAATAGTCGCAGACGCAGACGAGTCGCAGACGAGCGGTTGCAGTAGCGTCGCCTGGCTGAGAAGACTCCGGAATTCAGCAGAGCCGTGGACATCCACCTTTCCAAAGAGGCCTCAACCAAGGACGTTTACCTGATTTCAGTAACAGTTAGAGAGTTGGTACCGTCCAGGCTGTGAAAGCACATGATCTAGGCTGAGCGACGTTACCGGCGTTGCCATGGAAGTAACCACAATGCGAATGTTTGCCGTCTCCGAAACTCAAAACGCTATAACTGCAATTGAGTTGGACATGTCTCGAGGGTTTGGCAGAAGCATCGGAAGTGCACGGCAGGCTGTGTGGGTGTGGTCCAGGGTGTGGGCGGCGCCCTCAGTACAGCGGAGGCGGCCGGCAGCGAGCGATCGGCGACATCGACCCGCGGGACCAAGAGGACTGGGACAGCTGGCTGGAGGCGGACGTCAACAACATTCGGCAGGCAGCAAACACCAGCAGGCTGGCTTCTGAGAGCACCAACCTGGTGAACTCTCCTCCTCTCCGCTGTGGTCTGTGCGCGCCCAGCAGACACAGGTGGGGATAGATACCGGTTTCAACCGTACATTGATCGGTGAGGACAATTTATATCGCTTCGGATTCGTCCTAAGCTGAGATCCAGCGCCATCGAGCTGACACCGTACACCGGTGAGGCGATTCCAGTATTGGGGCAGTTCAGAACCTATGTTTTATACAAAAACCAAAAGTATAAGCTCAAGATCGTGGTGGTGCAAGGAAACCGTACGAACTTGCTGGCTTGTGACTGGTTAAAATGGATTCGGACCGACTGGCCTGCGCTGCATGCTGTGAAAAATGTTACAGTAGGTTATTTGAAAACGAAGTGACACCGGGGAGCCTGGACTGGACGGGCTCACGGGCGTCAAGGTGCGTCTTGACACTGCAAAAATGTACCGCCCGCATTCTTTAGGGATCGTTCGTCGCCGCGTGCCTTCCAGGAAAAGGTCGAGAAGCAGCTACAGATGGACATCGACGCCGGAGCTCTAGAGCTAGCGGCTCACAGCAACTGTAAACTGGTTCCAGTATTGGAAAAAGACGGCACTATCCGGATTTGTGTGAATTTCAGCCTCACAGCCAATCAAGCTGTGAATCTTGATAGTTATTCAGTGTCACGTACGGGACGTTGTTGCACGTCTAGCGGGAGATAAGTGTTCAGTACGATAGTTTTAGCACAGGCGTACAGCAAGCTTTTTGAACATCAAGTCTCAAGATAGAAACTGAAGCACGCCGAAAGGTCTCTTGGGCTACTCACGTTTGCCGCTTGGGGTCAATTGAGCTGTCAGTCTATTTCAGAGAGAAATAGAGCAGGTGCAGCGTAACGTTCCTGGCGACGTAGCCTGCCTCGACGACATCTTGATCACCATCAAGACGACAGAAGAACATCTTCGAAGGCTGGATGAGCTATTACCCGGACTGGAGAAGGCTGGCCCGAATATGAGACCAGCCAAACGCAAATTACTGATGCCCAGTGTGGAGTATGTAGGACAGACCATCGATAGCAGCGGTGTCAGAGCAATACTTGCCAATGTGCACGCTATCCAGGCTGTGCCGAAACCTGAAAATGTCCAGTTGCTCGAATTAATCTTGAGGCTTCTGAGACACTTCTCGATATTTATTCATGACCGCAGTCAGAATCTGGTGCCACTCCACGTTTTCTTGCGGAATAGCACTCCATGGCATTTGGGTGCGACGCAGACGGACATCTTCCGATGGGCGCGTAAGGTTCTCACATCAGGCCGGGTATTGGACCCCTTCCGCATCAACAAAAGGCAAGTTGTCACCAGTGATACTTCATCTGTCGGAATTGGCACTGTTCTGGCTCAAAAGGAGCCTGATGGGCATGGGAGGCCATTGAGGTACGTACCCAGTGGCCCATTCCCAAGCTAGCGCGAGTGCTCGCAAATTAAGGGGAGGTGCTCGCCATCACGTTTGACGCTAGCAAGTTTTATTCGTACTTGCTCTGGAGCCTGTTCACCCTGGTGACCGATCACAAACCATTGCTGACGCTTTTTGAAGAGCATGCTGATCTTCCCCAGATAGCGTCTACCAGAATTAACAGGAAGGCGCCGAAGCTGTCCGCATACAAGTACGAGATCAGATATCGCCACACGGAGATTGGTAACTCCGACGCCCCCAGCAGACATCCCCTGCCAGACTCCACATCACCGCGGGCGAAAGGCCTGTGTTGGTGGATGTCGGTAGATGATGGACTGTTTTACGTTAAACGCTAAACGGACGGCTGACAGTCTCTGGTAACAGCACACCGACCAGACAAGGCGTAGGCTAAGCGGCATGTCTGCAAGAGCTCCTCAGGTGATCGCCAACGCCGACGTGGCTGCCCATCGCGATACCCACGGAAGGCTCCCGCCCGGGATGCCTCGCGACAGCTCCGCAGAGGTGGCGACACCGTCAGGAGACACGAGGTTCACCCTGCGCACGTCTCTGCCGGACGCGCCGAACTTGGTCATCCCTACGACGCTCGTGTCACCACTGGTGTCCCCGGTTCCTGTGCTGCGCGTGCTCCTGCCGGAGACGTGTGCGGCAGAGTCGCGGCGAGATACTTTCGGCGGCGACCTGTCTCGTAACTCTGGGCTATGCGGACATCGCTACCCTGGCAGGCAGTGGCCGTGCCGATCACGTCAAGTCGGGAAAGTGCGAATGCCCCGGATGCGCGTCTATCTGTGAGACCGTGGAAGCAAACTGGGCTCTTTGGAAGCGCAGGTTACTTTAAGTGGGGGTGTAATTTGCTTTGTTATCATTTACGTGGAAGGGGGGGGGGAGGGGACAGCGTATTGCACATCCACTATCGACCATGTTGCAGTGTGTTTCGGATGTGCGCGTCCCTGCGTGGGCCGGTGATGCTGCGCCGACAGACGCGCTGCCGGCATGGTTGCTCCGGCCTCAACAACACACTTTCTCTTTTAAATTAATATGCTTTACGACATGTCATTGTTTGATTGCGTCTTCGTCGCTTGCACACCATTGATTGAGGAACAATTGACAGTCGTTATTTCTAGAAGCCGTGCTTACAAACGCCAGATATGAACAACCAGACAGTTGTAGTTTTGCTGGCTTTTATCGCCGCATGGTCAATGGAATTACAGGATTTTAATGACATAGTCAAGGCGCGATGAATGCCTGGGTTGCCTTGAAATAGTCTACCCGAAATAGTTTGCACATATTCGCGGGCGGGTAGCTCAGAAACTAGTGGGGTTTAGACTTGAAGGAAGTGTCTCACCTTTGGGGTGTGTTTCAAAAATCCGCTCTAGTGAAACCTTAGGGCTTTTTATGTCTTATAATAGCGCTTGGTTGTGCCACTGTAGCACCGTCAATACAAGTAGGACACCAATTTTCAATATTTTCGGGTTCAAATCACGCCGTGAACGCTTCAAAATAGCACTACGCTTCTTCTATGCAGTCGCGACCACCATCGTAGTGACAACTAACCGGTGCACCCCTGCTGGTGCAAATAAAAGAACGCTTGCGATTGGCCCAGCAGGCAAAGCCATTTTACCGAGAAGCGCATTGCTTGAATTTTGAGCCAGTGCGTCACATCATGCGATACTCTGTTTCTTAAAGCCAAAATGCTCCTTCAAGGGGCCTATGCGGTAAACGGTAGGCGGGAAG